ATTGGCCCGATTGCCACCCAGGCCGAGGGACCCCACCCGTGCATGAATTCGTGCACCGGGCCTCTAGTAAATAAAATAAAATGCTTGGGGAGGCTACCTTGACTTTGGACCCCAGAACTGCCAGAGAGTCCGTTTCTGTTGCTTTAAACCACCCAGTTTGTGGTAACTTGTTACCGCGGCTCTAGAAATGGAATACAGCGCGAATAACCGAGATAGGACAAAAACAAGAGATCTTAAACAACAATAATAAATAAAATAAAACGTGGACTGCACAGCCCGGTTGTGGGGTTCTCTCCGTGAGGTGGTGGAGTTAGGCGATTCCGAAATGACCCCGAGTTTCCTATTGTTTTAAATTGTCTAACCACAAAGAATTTATGAGCTTCGTACCATTGCAGAGAAAATAGAGGTAGGATTTATGCTTCGCCATTTATGTAGCCAATTTCATAGCTATTAGGTCGTTCTATCATGTATCTGAAAGGTACACATTACCGGTTGCCTCTAAGAACCTGTCGACTGTGGACAGAAATGACCTAAGGAGGATAAAGACTATTTACTAAGAACCAAGATCAAACATTTTACTAAGTGGAAAAATGCCGAAGTTGTTTCTATTAAATCAGGGGCAAGACAGAGCGCTGCTGTCTTCACCGTCGATCAACATGACTTTGCAGCTTTAACTAAGAGCGTAAGCCAGGAGAATGAATTGAGCAGAGTAGGTACCAGAAAGAAAGGAAAATATCTTTGTTTACAGATTATCGAGCGCGCACCTAGATAACCTAGTCGATTTTCATAAGACAATATTAAAATTGGTAAGAGAATTTAGTAAGAGAGGTGGATGAATAAAGTTTTGATTTATGATAGCAATAAACGTTTGGGAAGGGAAATGGAAAAAAATAGCCCATTCATAGTAGCAACAAACAAAGATGTCTAAGGATGTGTTTAACAAGAAAAGAATTTTGCCTGGGCCAAGCCCTCCCTAATGAGATACTGTGACCCCCAAACAGGAGAAGAGCACCCCCTATTTCTGTGCTTCATTGTCACCTGCACCCCGCCCCCCCCCCATGCCACCACTGCCTGGTGGCTTGTGTCCCTTCGGCTGTGTCCAGTCCCTGGGCAGACGTCCATGCACTTTGAGTGATGGGGCCCCATCGCCTTCACACAGACAAAAGACGGGGTGTCAGGCCTGGGAGCAAGCTGGAAGGGGTGGGAGAGGGGGGGCAGGAAAGGCAGCCACATTCCCAGGGGGACCGGAAGCCAGGAATGTCCCAGGCCAGGAAAAGGCTGGT